TTTCACTTTTTTGGTCTTTTGGAAAATGTTGTTTGTGCTGTATTTAGACCCCTCTACAAAGAAATTTGTTTTGCATGCACACGTATAAAAATTGCGGTTTTTATCCAACGCAATCATAGGTTTGAACGTTGTTTTCAATTTAGACTTGTTTATATTTTTTCGTTTGGGCTTGTAATATATTTGCCTTCGGGTTTATATAATCCGTTCATCCTATTTCGACTCTTCAAAATTCAAGAGTCAATCCCAAATTGAGGTAAATTATATGGCCTTCCAAATACCGTTTCGATTTCTAATATCACTGAAGAGACATTAATTGTCGAAATCCGGATATGGTGTACAAACTTTTGCACCTCATGTTTGCGATATACCATCTTTTCCGCAAGTTTATTGTTTTCTGTTTGGTATTAAATTAATATAATTAAGATCCATTGTGTTACATCTGTGATCCGTTTATTTGGCAATCGCCATGGCAGTCAGCAGAGTTTAAGAACATCCGTTGTTCGACCTGCTAGTCAAATGCGTTTTGTTAAAATATACTTTTTCACTTTTTTGGTCTCTTGGAAAATGTTGTTTTTGCTGTATTTAGACCCCTCTACAAAGAAATTTGTTTTGCATGCACACGTATAAAAATTGCGGTTTTTATCCAACGCAATCATAGGTTTGAACGTTGTTTTCAATTTAGACTTGTTTATATTTTTTCGTTTGGGCTTGTATTATATTTGCCTTCGGGTTTATATGATCCGTTCATCCTATTTCGACTCTTCAAAATTCAAGAGTCAATCCCAAATTGAGGTAAATTATATGGCCTTCCAAATACCGTTTCGATTCTTAACATCACTAAAGAGACATTAATTGTCGAAATCCGGATATGGTGTACAAATTTTTGCACCTCATGTTTGCGATATACCATCTTTTCCGCAAGTTTATTGTTTTCTGTTTGGTATTATATTAATATAATTAAGATCCATTGTGTTACATCTGTGATCCGTTTATTTGGCAATCGCCATGGCAGTCAGCAGAGTTTAAGAACATCCGTTGTTCGACCTGCTAGTCAAATGCGTTTTGTTAAAATATACTTTTTCACTTTTTTGGTCTTTTGAAAAATGTTGTTTGTGCTGTATTTAGACCCCTCTACAAAGAAATTTTTTTGCATGCACACGTATAAAAATTGCGGTTTTTATCCAACGCAATCATAGGTTTGAACGTTGTTTTCAATTTAGACTTGTTTATATTTTTTCGTTTGGGCTTGTATTATATTTGCCTTCGGGTTTATATGATCCGTTCATCCTATTTCGACTCTTCAAAATTCAAGAGTCAATCTCAAATTGAGGTAAATTATATGGCCTTCCAAATACCGTTTCGATTCCTAACATCACTGAAGAGACATTAATTGTCGAAATCCGGAAATGGTGTACAAACTTTTGCACCTCATGTTTGCGATATACCATCTTTTCCGCAAGTTCATTGTTTTCTGTTTGGTATTAAATTAATATAATTAAGATCCATTGTGTTACATCTGTGATCCGTTTATTTGGCAATCGCCATGGCAGTCAGCAGAGTTTAAGAACATCCGTTGTTCGACCTGCTAGTCAAATGCGTTTTGTTAAAATATACTTTTTCACTTTTTTGGTCTTTTGGAAAATGTTGTTTGTGCTGTATTTAGACCCCTCTACAAAGAAATTTGTTTTGCGTGCACACATATAAAAATTGCGGTTTTTATCCAACGCAATCATAGGTTTGAACGTTGTTTTCAATTTAGACTTGTTTATATTTTTTCGTTTGGGCTTGTATTATATTTGCCTTCGGGTTTATATGATCCGTTCATCCTATTTCGACTCTTCAAAATTCAAGAGTCAATCCCAAATTGAGGTAAATTATATGGCCTTCCAAATACCGTTTCGATTCTTAACATCACTGAAGAGACATTAATTGTCGAAATCCGGATATGGTGTACAAATTTTTGCACCTCATGTTTGCGATATACCATCTTTTCCGCAAGTTTATTGTTTTCTATTTGGTATTAAATTAAGATAATTAAGATCCATTGTGTTACATCTGTGATCCGTTTATTTGGCAATCGCCATGGCAGTCAGCAGAGTTTAAGAACATCCGTTGTTCGACCTGCTAGTCAAATGCGTTTTGTTAAAATATACTTTTTCACTTTTTTGGTCTTTTGGAAAATGTTGTTTTTGCTGTATTTAGACCCCTCTACAAAGAAATTTGTTTTGCATGCACACGTATAAAAATTGCGCTTTTTATCCAACGCAATCATAGGTTTGAACGTTGTTTTCAATTTAGAATTGTTTATATTTTTTCGTTTGGGCTTGTATTATATTTGCCTTCGGGTTTATATGATCCGTTCATCCTATTTCGACTCTTCAAAATTAAAGAGTCAATCCCAAATTGAGGTAAATTATATGGCCTTCCAAATACCGTTTCGATTCTTAACATCACTGAAGAGACATTAATTGTCGAAATCCGGATATGGTGTACAAATTTTTGCACCTCATGTTTGCGATATACCATCTTTTCCGCAAGTTTATTGTTTTCTGTTTGGTATTAAATTAACATAATTAAGATCCATTGTGTTACATCTGTGATCCGTTTATTTGGCAATCGCCATGGCACATGTGGCAGTCAGCAGAGTTTAAGAACATCCGTTGTTCGACCTGCTAGTCAAATGCGTTTTGTTAAAATATACTTTTTCACTTTTTTGGTCTTTTGGAAAATGTTGTTTTTGCTGTATTTAGACCCCTCTACAAAGAAATTTGTTTTGCATGCACACGTATAAAAATTGCGGTTTTTATCCAACGCAATCATAGGTTTGAACGTTGTTTTCAATTTAGACTTGTTTATATTTTTTCGTTTGGGCTTGTATTATATTTGCCTTCGGGTTTATATGATCCGTTCATCCTATTTCGACTCTTCAAAATTCAAGAGTCAATCCCAAATTGAGGTAAATTATATGGCCTTCCAAATACCGTTTCGATTCTTAACATTACTGAAGAGACATTAATTGTCGAAATCCGGATATGGTGTACAAATTTTTGCACCTCATGTTTGCGATATACCATCTTTTCCGCAAGTTTATTGTTTTCTGTTTGGTATTAAATTAATATAATTAAGATCCATTGTGTTACATCTGTGATCCGTTTATTTGGCAATCGCCATGGTTCATGTGGCAGTCAGCAGAGTTTAAGAACATCCGTTGTTCGACCTGCTAGTCAAATGCGTTTTGTTAAAATATACTTTTTCACTTTTTTGGTCTTTTGGAAAATGTTGTTTGTGCTGTATTTAGACCCCTCTACAAAGAAATTTGTTTTGCATGCACACGTATAAAAATTGCGGTTTTTATCCAACGCAATCATAGGTTTGAACGTTGTTTTCAATTTAGACTTGTTTATATTTTTTCGTTTGGGCTTGTATTATATTTGCCTTCGGGTTTATATGATCCGTTCATCCTATTTCGACTCTTCAAAATTCAAGAGTCAAACCCAAATTGAGGTAAATTATATGGCCTTCCAAATACCGTTTCGATTCCTAACATCACTGAAGAGACATTAATTGTCGAAATCCGGATATGGTGTACACATTTTTGCACCTCATGTTTGCGATATACCATCTTTTCCGCAAGTTTATTGTTTTCTGTTTGGTATTAAATTAATATAATTAAGATCCATTGTGTTACATCTGTGATCCGTTTATTTGACAATCGCCATGGCAGTCAGCAGAGTTTAAGAACATCCGTTGTTCGACCTGCTAGTCAAATGCGTTTTGTTAAAATATACTTTTTCACTTTTTTGGTCTTTTGGAAAATGTTGTTTTTGCTGTATTAAGACCCCTCTACAAAGAAATTTGTTTTGCAGCACACGTATAAAAATTGCGGTTTTTATCCAACGCAATCATAGGTTTGAACGTTGTTTTCAATTTAGACTTGTTTATATATTTTCGTTTGGGCTTGTATTATATTTGCCTTCGGGTTTATATGATCCGTTCATCCTATTTCGACTCTTCAAAATTCAAGAGTCAATCCCAAATTGAGGTAAATTATATGGCCTTCCAAATACCGTTTCGATTCTTAACATCACTGAAGAGACATTAATTGTCGAAATCCGGATATGGTGTACAAATTTTTGCACCTCATGTTTGCGATATACCATCTTTTTCGCCAGTTTATTGTTTTCTGTTTGGTATTAAATTAATATAATTAAGATCCATTGTGTTACATCTGTGATCCGTTTATTTGGCAATCGCCATGGCAGTCAGCAGAATTTAAGAACATCCGTTGTTCGACCTGCTAGTCAAGTGCGTTTTGTTAAAATATACATTTTCACTTTTTTGGTCTTTTGGAAAATGTTGTTTGTGCTGTATTTAGACCCCTCTACAAAGAAATTTGTTTTGCATGCACACGTATGAAAATTGCGGTTTTTATCCAACGCAATCATAGGTTTGAACGTTGTTTTCAATTTACACTTGTTTATATTTTTTCGTTTGGGCTTGTATTATATTTGCCTTCGGGTTTATATGATCCGTTCATCCTATTTCGACTCTTCAAAATTCAAGAGTCAATCCCAAATTGAGGTAAATTATATGGCCTTCCAAATACCGTTTCGATTCCTAACATCACTGAAGAGACATTAATTGTCGAAATCCGGATATGGTGTACAAATTTTTGCATCTCATGTTTGCAATATACCATCTTTTCCGCAAGTTTATTGTTTTCTGTTTGGTATTAAATTTGTATAATTAAGATCCATTGTGTTACATCTGTGATCCGTTTATTTGGCAATCGCCATGGCAGTCAGCAGAGTTTAAGAACATCCGTTGTTCGATCTGCTAGTCAAATGCGTTTTGTTAAAATATACTTTTTCACTTTTTTGGTCTTTTGGAAAATGTTGTTTGTGCTGTATTTAGACCCCTCTACAAAGAAATTTGTTTTGCATGCACACGTATAAAAATTGCGGTTTTATCCAACGCAATCATAGGTTTGAACGTTTGTAATTATTTGTTAGTGCTCGTGTCTCTCGTTCTTCTTTTTATGCTTTTGTTTATAGTGTAATAGTTGTATTGGACATACCCCTATCTTTTTTCTCTAGAAATATCTTTGGCATGTCATGATGTTTGTCTTCTTTATTCGTGCTGCAAAAAGTTAAATATTTGAGTTAAATATTTTCTTAAACTTTACAAACATGTGGTTAATCCGTATGCAAATAGTTTGAAACAACGAACTTTTATTGGTCGTCATATATGTTGAGGGGTTTGATTCCATGGTCTACTGGTCTGTAACTACAGTATGATATCATTTTGAATTGTGAAATTCTTTAGGATTTTCTTTTAAGCGAGAGAGACACATTTTTTCTTGACAACATTATTTTTGTAAATTTTTATTATATTCTATAGCGTGCCCGAAGTCTAAAAGTATCATGTTTTTACGGTTGACGCCCGGAGTAAACATAAGGTTTTAGATGCTAAACCGCAAACAAAATTACGGGGAATTTTTATTTATTACAATTTTAAGCCAAAATAATAATAAAAAATAGGATTCAGTTGCATTCGAATGGAAATAGCCGTATTGTAATTTATATTTCGTGAATGAATAAGTTAGTTGACAGTTTTAAAATTTGATTTACCTATCACCGCGATGCATCGCTAGGTCAACGATTAGTCAACTCAATTTGCGATTGTTATAAATTCATAGTGATTGTTTGCCTCTTAAAATAGAATACTAGTTGCATACTGTAATTATACAGAATAGATAAGGAGATGATCATTCCTGTACACTTAAACATACTTCATGTATTTTGATTACATGTCCTTTATTGATACCTACCAGAAGGTAACACCTCCCGAATCGAAAGCTGATTTTTTTATCAGCTATAGTTAGAGGAGAGGATCAGGCGTCTGCACAATGCTAGACGGTGTTGTCGAAGAAGTGAGAAGATAAAAGTACTCTTTCCAGCCCCTTGTTGGGGTGGAAGTTAAGAATCAGATCTACGCTAACATTATTCGGTTGATTATCAGGATTATATAGATATATAGAGATATAGATCAACTCACTTAGTTGCATCTAAAAGAGGGCATTTTATTGATCCGTTCCAATTGTTTACAGCAATACACTGATAATCTGGAAATAAAGAATTTTATTAGTCAAATCTATTGAAAAGCTTTATTAATTCCGAATGCTTGTTGTTTGGAACACGTTAGGACAATGACAGTCAACGTTGCATCACTTGAGTTGAAACAAAATAGTTGTATTTGTTTACAAACATTATTGATTGATAAACCGTAGCGTTATAAACGGTTTCGATGTGTGCGTATTTCATGTGTTTTTTTTTTTGTTTGTTAATGCATTATATTTGTTGTGATTCAAATATTTAAACTGCTTGTACTTTGACAACATTTATTTATTATATTTATTTGGTCAATGCTTGTAATTAGCAGGGGATATTTGAATTTTGAAACATACATTGCGGTTACCAACTTAACAAACCAAATACGTTAGATAGTAAATGTTTATTTAGCGAAATTTTCTGTTAAAGGTAATAAGACGTTCTAACTGATCTTCAGTTCCTTAATGACTTTTGTACAAGGTTATAATAAGGTTGTTTTCGTGATAAATTACCGGTTTGGGAAACGATTATATGTAGCTATACTGGGTATTATCAATTGTTATGCTAGTACTATGTCTTATGAAAAGTACTTCTACAGAACTTTTGCTAAGTTCTCACTCTTTGCCGTAAAAATTTATTAAAAATATCACTGCATTATGATAATAATCTTCATCGTGTTCGATAGGTTTCTTTGTATGTCTTTTTTTAAATAATTAAAAACACACTCCAGGCAAAACGACTAAATAGTACTGAATTAACATCTTTAGAATACATTTAAACATAGGTTTTAAGGTCCAGACTTTTCAGATGTTGAGAGAAAAAAGGCCGATTAAGATTATATTTATTAAATAGGATAAAAGCTGTGTTTTGTCATATGTGTATGCCAAATATCTTTAGGATATATTGCAATTTTAGGTTGTGAACAAAACGGATGGCTGAAAAGAGAAAAATATTCTGAGGTACAATTTACGTTTACCAACTTATTTTTTAGATATAAAACACCTGAACGTGTAAATATATTCTGCCAATGTCAGATAATTGAAAAAAATTGATTATGTTATTGTTTTTTATTTCTTTTCTTTAAAGATACCAAAGAAGCAAACTAACTTCCTCCTTAAATTAATTATTTGCCATTGTCGTCCAATAGGTAATTTACCGTTGAAAATTAAGAATCCGCCTTATAAAATTAGAGCGAATAAGTTGGTTCAAGTTTCTAATACGTCATTTTTGTTTTCTTAAAAGGTACTGTAGTTCATACTGATAACCGATTATTTGTTGCTATGAACATTGTGGTATGAAATATAGATCATAGATCTGACTACTTAAATTGCAGCAAAACGGTTTTAAGTTTGATCTGTGTATTTAAAAGAAGAATAATATTTGCTGATAATTATAATTAGTGGTTTGATAAGTTTTGAAAATACTGGGTTTTTATAAAGATAAGAAAGAATAAGTAAGCATTTCAATTATGAAAAAAAAATCTGTTTAAAGTTTGAAAGAAATTTCAAAATTGATAGTCGAAGTATGATATCGTTCGTCAAGTAATTACATATGAAGTTTATTTGAATAAAATTGGATATATTTCAAAGTAGGAACGACATGAAAAAAAAAAAATTACAAAACGTGTTATTTTTTTCTTTTTTCCATTGCGTTGTCTGTTTATTTTTTACTTATTTTGAATGTCACTTTGGGATTTGTCGTCTCACATTTCCAAATCTTGCTTAGTCGATCCACGGCATGGGGAAAAAGATTAGTCTCTAAAATGATTTTAACATTTAGTTACAGCTCATCTGCAGTAAATGACCATATCAAAGATATTACATGTGCGTACTGGGGCACTGACTTATACCAGCAGTACAATCGACCAAGTGGCTATAAAAATTCACCGGCTCATCTTCTAAGACTCATAAACGTCTTCTTAATTTAGTTAAGGCAGTAGTTTAGAAATATTCAAATCTACTAAAATTAAAATTGATTGGGAAGAGATAAATCAAGATAACAAACAAAAATGAGGGAATCGTGTGAAACCAATAAGGCGTGGGGACTAGATGCGTTGACATAGAAAGCAGTCAGTTGACTTGTCACAATTAAAATCGCTAAAATTACCGACATGAAGACATAAGAAGCTTTTTCCTTTTGTCATTGACAAGTTAATGCATACATTTTGCTTCTTTTGAATACAAAAAAAAGTCGGGCGATATGGTTGCTTATACATTTATCCATCCAACTCAAAACATATACTGTCGATCAAAAGTTCCTGCAATACATCTGTTACGCTAAGTCTGTTGTGGGAATGAAAGTGGTTCTTTACAGAGTAATATTCGCCAATAAAGGTGTAAACCAACTAAATCATTGTACGTCAGATCCGGTTGCATACGAAAAAGGGTCGAAAAAAATATATTCCCTTGCATTTAACGGTAGTAAGAAATTAATCCTACATTTCATTGCAGTAAAAAATTTCTGAGTCATAAACATATATCTTGGGTGTTTCAAAGCACAATTATTTTTTTTATTTGGTGTTTCTATAGAATGTTTTGGAAACTTGAGGTAACATAATTACTAAAGCTTGTACACAGGAAACAAAGGGGGCGAAATTTTGATTGGTTAACTTCCAGTGATGGTTATTGTCTTATATGCAATGAAATGTTATTTGAAATTTTGCCTTTAGTACTGGCCAGGATAATACTTTACTCATGCCAAGTATTTCTTTATTTGAAACAAAGGTAAATTCTGAACAATGTTTTAAAAAGTGCAAATTTAATAAAGACTAATAGGGGAAAATGAATAGTGGTATTACACCTAAACCAAACAATGAATGCATAACAAATACAAATAAGAAGATTTACAGTGTTCAGTTGTCTAAAACAGTTGGACCGTATTATGTTGTGATACTGTTCCATCAAGAGTCAAGATATGGAATTATCTTGTAACGGAATCAAAGTCATAAATTCAATGTTTTGATCAAGTAAATAAAAAATACATTTTATGTTATATAATGGTAGAAAAGGATATAGAGGTGTTTTTTTTACAGCACGTGAATTTAGCATATCACTATGAATTGTTTTTTATTTGTGGCTGTAACAAATCCTGATCATATGTACTATGTTATTGTTTGTCTTTATTCATGTGGTTAAACTTCAGTTATTGAAAGATGATGTGGACTGTGAAGTATATTTTGTGATTTTTGATATTCATCTTATGCATCATAAGAACAAGTATATATCAAATCATACACTACTTACGTACCAGGTGATAACACGCTATCTGGTGGACAATTTTTCTTGTAGCATGTACAGTCCTCAATAAATGGATCACATTTACATTTTTCAGCAGGTTCAAGTACAAAGGCGTATCCATATGTGTAATCACATCTACATGATCTATCAATATCAGATTCCAAATCATAAAAAACGACCTGCCCTTCTAAACTACATATTGATTTCGCATAAAAGCATTCGTCATTACCATTAGTCGAGAAAGTAAAAGGCTGAAATCTGTTGTCGTCACACGGAACCCGATCAATCCCTCCACTGAACACATTCTTTACGCCTGTAAGAAATAATCATTGTATGCAGTTGTATTAAAATTACACTAAAAACTGTTCATTAAATATATAATTTAATTGTATTGAAATCACATTGTTACAATTAATTTTAATTCATTCCAATCCTATTTATAGGCATAAGTCGTCGTGTCTGGAAAATAAAATAGGAAAAAAAGACTTTAGTGCTTTTCATTATAGAAACTACAAAAATGTCTGGTTATGACTTACCATTCTTTCTACACTGGGTGACTTGAGACATCTCTCGGCATATATGTTCTGAATCTTGTCGTACAGACACCCATATAGTTCAGACGAGTTACAAATTGCAGTTGATCGAAAGTGCCATTGTGATGTATTCGGACATTCAAATTCATAACATAGACGTAGATGGAAATTCTAAAATATAAATATGTGCATTTATGTTATTTTGCAGAATTACAAATAAAGCACAATGGTTTGTTCGTGATTCTCTATGTATCATACATACATTTTGAGTGTAACATGTACAACTTAATACGTGTTACAGTTAGTTGGTATTGTTTCAATTTGACCCGTCTAACCAAGCTTTCTCAATTAACATTGTTACCTCAAAAATCAATAGTGTGTAGTTCATACTCCTTTTCTTCTGACTATCATTGCCTGTGCCTGTTCGGTTTCTATTTAACGTCAGAAACAAGAAGCCTTTACAGGTCGGGGTGGTTTGTCTCAAATGAAATGTGATCAATTAAGTAGTTTCTATTTTATTTGTTTTGATCAATGTTGGTGCCAACATTTTTTTAAATACAATTTATAATGTATGTCAAAGTGGCCCTTCCTTGACAAACAATAGTGCATTTGATGTCATTGTTTACTTAAACGAAACAACAAATTTGCAGAAATGAAATTATTGTTGGGCGAGAATAATGAAATATATGTAGACCATTTTGAGCCAAAATTTACTTATCCATGAGTTTCCATTAAAAATTGAGGATTAATGCGCTCCACAGTATACCTAATTAAGATTTCCAGAAAATCAGGAGTTATTTTTAGAAGTAATTGCCTTACGATTATTCGTATTTCCTTACAAGACGTTAAACAAATGTTGAAAATGTTCATGTAGAAAAATGAGACACGTACAACATGTACAATTTAGGATATATCTGGTTTAAAAGAAGTTGAACTTAAGGTAAAATATTCAGAACGCTGTGAAATTTGCAAAATTTGGTCGAATAGATAAGGATTTTGAATTGGTGGCCTGACACCTAAAATACATACCAATACCGGTCATTCTTATTCCGCTTTTGATAATCTTTGAATAAAAATGATGTTCTAATTTTTGGTGGTGGATATCATTTGAAGATATGTATCAATTTTTTAAGATCATCACTTATTTTGGTAGCATTATTGATTTCTTTATTGTTGATTGATCTTTCTTTTCTTCAAATCAATAAATGATTTATCTGATTACTTCAATATAATTCCTGTATGAACATGTAAAATTCAACTGAGTTGTTTTTCGAATGAACCTCTCACCTTAACCACAATTATACGCTGTGAAACTAGGTTATAAATTTCAGAATCTAGCCTTATTTTAAATCCCTAATACTAATACTATTTCAGGAATCTCAAAGACTATATCGTCAAATAGAATCAGAGGAAACTTGCTTTATTCCTTTATACATTTATAAAACACGAAAAGTATTTCACAACCAACAATTGGCACCACATATAAAGATGTATTTAGATCATAGGAACACAAATTAGTTGTCCTTAATCTTTAATTTCACATGTGGCTCCTTTCCCGATTGTGATAGTTAACTAAATGTGAATTTGCATGGTGGAGGATGCATGTATGGAATGTGATGCTTACCTTGTCGACGCACCCGGTCTCGTTTCTTTTCAAGTTCATACAATGCCCTTGGTTTTTGTTTGTATCCTTTATTTGTCTGTTCTTACTCGATTTACGAGATTTGAACATCGATAAACTACTGTCTCCCAAATTTACCATTTTTTTAAAAGATTCAGATAAATGAAATTGTATCGATCTCATACACGAACGATATACATGAAATAAAAAGCAGTTTTATAAATTGAAAAAAAATGAATGCACTCAATGTATTACAACTTGTATAGTTATATATAATTTCTTCTTCTTATTTAATTTTGAATCCCATATTATAGTTTATATCACGTCTTTCTAAACATGCGCAGTAGTGATGATAGTACAGACTTAAAACATTGTGTGAATGTATCAGTGCGGTGACCAAGGGCAGAATTTTTTCAGATTCAATCACCCCACCGAAAACACAGCTAAATTATATATCTTGAAAGAGGAAACATTGTACTATAAGAATATGCCTGTAGTAAGGATCAGATCTGGTCCTTTTTATACAAATTCGGTTTCACTTTTAGTAGATTTTGTATTAGAACTATATCATTGATAGTTGTTCAATTTCTCAAAAAGACGTTTTCAATTAAATAAACTCAAAATATGAAGTTATTAAACATATAAAGTCAACATGACCCTGACTTATGAAAAACAACCAATCCTGATGTACTGAAATCAAACGGCGGTCAACAATTCCTATTTATATATAGAAATTATTTCATTCGTATTCAAACAAAGACAAAAGTTTATTCATATTAATCCTTAAATTATTCACATCTTATACAAAATAACTTATCTAAATGCATTTATAATGACTGATTGCAATTGATGTTGCATTATTTCTGATATATATTTGCATATTTAAGCATCAGGTACAAACATTTAATATCGTCTACCTAAAAATCAGCATTTTTTATAAAAAAATAACCAATTCACACTCCAAAAAATAAATTACTAGATTTTACTTAAAACAAGTATTGTTTTAACTCAAATCAAGTAAAAAAACAAGTAAAAATGTTTGTCAAAAAATGAGTAAATACTAGTAATCCAAGTCATTGTAAGTAATTAGGTAGTATTTATGTGCAAGTAATTTTTCAATGTTTCTTAAGTAATTCTTTTAATAAATATTACGGTTTTTTTTCATATCTAATAAGCAATTCTTTTAATACACATTAAGTATTCTTTTATTATAGTAAGTAATTCTTTTAATTCACATTAAGTATTTCTTTTAATAATAGTAAGTAATTCTTTTAATACACATTAAGTATTTCTTTTAATACACATTAGGTATTTCTTTTTATTATAGTAAGTATTTCTTTTAATAATAGTAAGTAATTCTTTTAATACACATTAAGTATTTCTTTTAATAATAGTAAGTAATTCTTTTAATACACATTAAGTATTTCTTTTTATTACAGTAAGTATTTCTTTTAATAATAGTAAGTAATTCTTTTAATAATAGTAAGTATTTCTTTTAATAATAGTAAGTAATTCTTTTAATACACATTAAGTATTTTTTTTAATAATAGTAAGTAATTCTTTTAATACACATTAAGTATTTCTTTTTATTATAGTAAGTATTTCTTTTAATAATAGTAAGTTATTCTTTTAATACACATTAAGAGTTTCTTTTAATAATAGTAAGTAATTCTTTTAATATATATTGAGTATTTCTTTTAATATTCTTAGTAATTCTTTTATCACTTGTAAGCCATTCTTTTACTTATGGCAAGTAATTTTTGGAAACAATTATTACTTGAATCAGTAAATTTATTTGTAGGTTTTGAGTAATTCTATTACATATGTATACAGATTAGAATAACAATTCTACACTGTTTTATTAAAAATGCATATAATTTTGAAAAATTGACATACCTTTCAAAGAATGATCATATACTACATTGTATATCCTTTGTTTTAATCCATTTCTATTCTTGTTTGATGTAAGTTGACATGGGCTACCTCCACATCAACTCTTTGTACTACATTTTCATTTAATTGAAATAGTACACAAAGAGTAGTCAGAAACATGAATACCCACAAATCGTGCTTTTTGTAAATTTCTTCTTTCCTTTCATGCTTGTAAAAGAGGGACGAAAGATACCAGAGGGACAGTCAAACTCACAGATCGAAAACAAACTGACAACGCCATGGCCAAAAATAAAAAGACAAACAGACAAATAATAGTACAGATGACACAACATAGAAAACTAAAGACTAAGCAACACGAATCACAAAAAACTGGGGGGTGATCTCAGGTGCTCCGGAAGGGTAAGCAGATCCTGCTCCACATGTGGCACCCGTCGTGTTGCTTATGTTATTACAAATCCGGTAAATAGTCAAATTCGGTAGGTCACATTCGTGAAAAGGGAAGGGTATTGTACTTACGACATAAGGAACATATTCGATATCATTTGTGAAACGGTTATTCCATAACGGTCAACCAACTCGTGATGGCGTCCGTAAAATTTACGAAGGGATGATTTCAACTTCATCATTTGGAACTCTTGGTTTAATAGCTTCCTTGTGAGCAGCAATCCTCTATCAAGGAAATCATGATAGGAAATACAAGCCCGGGAATATCGTATCAATTGGGAGATATATACTCCGTATGCAGGCGGTGCTGGAATGTTGCCACATAGAAATCGAAATTTTACAATTGGGAAGCTGAAATCATATCTTTTGTCGTAAAGTTTTGTTTTCCATCGACCCTCATTGTCAATTTCTAGATGTAAGTCAAGATATGAGGCAGACTTAACTGTATCTGTAGTATCCTTTATCTCTAGTTCGATGGGATAGATTCGTTCAACAAAGTCACCAAAGTTTGTATTATTTAGTGAGAGAACATCATCTATATAGCGGAACGTAAATTTAATGGATATTGCTAACTTCTTATCTTTCTTCCTAAGAAGTTCCTGTATGAAGTCAGCCTCATAATAATAAATAAACAAGTCGACAAGAAAAGGGGCACAATTGGTTTCCATTTGAATTCTGTTGAAAAATACGTCCTCCAAACGTAACAAATATGTTGTCAATCAAGAAATCAAGCATCTTGATAATGTCAGTTTCAGAGAATTTTTTGTTTAAATCAGAGTGATTCTTTAAAAAGTAGGATTTATCCCTCCCCAAGACAAGATACTTGTATCTACGTTCGCCATTCTTTTTAATGAAACAAAGTAATACCAACTCTTTCAACATGTTCAATTTGACTTTTAGTTTGGAATGGGGAATACTTGTGTAAAGTGTAGAAAAGTCAAATGTTTTAATACTATTGCAAGATGAGAGAGTCTTAGATTGTATGTACTCTAAAAGATCTTTGGAATTTTTTAGTATCGATATCTGATTCACGCCACCTCTAGAATAGGCAGTTTCACAATAACTTTGGAGCACGGCTTTGATTGTTGATAAAATAGATGTTAATAATTTAGAAAGAGGTTTCGTGGAGCACTTGGAAGACCCAGCAATATACCGTTGTTTGTAAGGACACTTATGTAGTTTAGGTATCCAATACAGTGATAGAAGATCCAG